TAATAACAACCATGTGATACTACACTGTGAAAACTCTCTGAAATAACTTTTCTCATCTCTGATTGATCTACTTGATGTTGAAACCTATGTAAATTTTGAAATGTTGGAAGACGACGAAATGCTGTCAACTCTCCAACGTGCAGATGCACAGTTCACACGATCCCTAGTGCGGGACACATACCATGCTGTCATTATAAACTTTGCAAACTATGTCTATCATTTGAAACAATATCTTGAGTTTGTATTTTAATGGAGGCACAAGTGACGCCATCCCTTTGTGAATGTTACTGTACATATCAATAATCTTCGGATTGATTTCTGGAGGAAATAAAGAATCTCTCTCTCTCCTCTCTCTCACAACTATATAGGTGGTAAAAGAGGTTAATTACAATGCATAACAAGCAAAAAGTAGCAACAGGGGACGCACAGCACAACTAGTTGAACTGAATAAACAAATGCGCAAAAGCATAACACACACGCCAGTCGCGTGACAATATTATTGAGCGGCATATTCAAAAGCAATGATGTGGATGGTACTATAGTATTATATCTGTTTCCAGCGACAAATTTAAAGGTACATGGCCCACTATATAGCTATCTCACTCTTGCTATCATTTCCATTTATATCACAACATCTCATGTGATTATCATATTTACAAGAACGCCTCACCCATGATCTCACTTGTGGACATATCGCAAGCAATGTTAATAGTAAGCGTGCACGTGTACCGTGACCTTGGCCTTTATGAAGAAGTGATTTTATCATTTGATTTAAGGCCATCGAATCAGCTGTGCATGTGATCAGCTGAATAACTGGCCCACGGAACGCCTCAGCGGAGTCACAGATGAAGTCATTCAAAAACGTTCGACAAAACTTTAATTGCAGCTTACTTGTCTGTTTGAATGTTGGGGTTAGCTTACAAAGAGTAAAGCAGCTGTTAGAGGAATGGTGTAAATCCTACACGGGATACCGTGCAGGTTAATGATGGACTCTGGCTACTTGTAGCCTTGGTTTGGTTGCTGGCGATCTATAGCCTGGTTTCAGTATTGTTTAATTGTTTGGAATTCTGGTCTTTATATTCTTTTTAAATTAGTTGCAACATGTATCTGATGACATATGTTTAGTATTAAGTATATTATGTTTAGTCCCATTATTGCTGAAATAGTACCGACTCTGACACTTGCAATTGATAGTTTGTTGTTTAACGCCACACTCATCAGCATTCCAGCTATATAGCATCCGGCTGTAAATGAATGAGTCTGGACAAGACAATCAAGTGATCAACAGCATGAGCATCGATCTACACAAATGGGTTACGATGACATGTGTTAAATAAGTTAGTGAGTCTGACCACCCGATCCCGTCAGTGGCCTCTTACGGGTTGTTAAAGATCAGTTTTAACCTTCACGGCGAGTGACACTTCGTAAATGCATGTGTTGTCCATCTTATAGACACTCAAGATGGGCTGCAATGTGAAAGAACCCACGAGTACAGTGCATGACATTGTCAGTGTGACTTGAAGTCACTCAACATGTGCAGTGTATGGTTGCACCCCGCAGTGCTCGTGGCGATGATACACCCTGGGTCCGCCATCACTGGAGGGTATGTTACCAGGTCTATTTATATCCACTTAAAGTGCTTAAAAACAAAAGACCTGACAAAAGCCTCATTGTCTGAAGGAAGGAAATTGAATGTGTTTAAATTTGAAAAGTAAGCAGACAAGAAGCAATCTGCAAACTGAGGGAAATATACTGTAAAAGCTGAATTTGTTTATGCAAAATTCTCCAAACGTGAGAGTGAGTGAGTTAACATGGTGTATCGCGTCAGCACAATTACACTCATATAAAGATGAAAGACTATTCGTTTAAAAATATCTGTCGACGAGTGACAGTAAACTAGTTAGGTATATCACAGTTTTAGAATAAAACCAGAAGGAGGAAATAGAGGTAGAAAGCTGGAGAGCAGATTGAGGCTTGTGAATTACTACCAGGCTATAAACCACTAATTACACAAGCGTTGGACAACATTATGCTTCATTAGCCGCAGGTTGTGAACAAGTTTAGCTCCGCGGGACACTGACAGCGATTTGTGAACAAGTTTAGCTCCGCGGGACACTGACAGCGATTTGTGAACAAGTTTAGCTCCGCGGGACACTGACAGCGATTTGCTGTGTGAGGATAACTGTACTGTTCTGGACCAGGAAATCCAGATACAGGAAATAGAAAGGACAAATATATCTCTAGCGTGACAAAAGTAAACCCAACAACACGCTTGATAATTGAATTTCCCTTCCCTTATTCAAGGCGCACACAACATTGAGAGAAATACTTGAGTAAAGAGTCAATTGGGTACTAATGTTTTGGGAGATGCGTCTTAGATCTTGCCGCAACAAATGACCCAGTAGGAGCTGATATGAAAGTGGATGGACTAGATTCCATAGTGACAGCATGTGCATACTTGGGGAGAATCACAAGAAGTCTTAGAATGAATGTGGAGTTCAAGTCGGTACTAGTGCAGGGTCCACTTCCACAGCGCTACAATCATTGCAAATCCTCAATGTCGCGATCTTAGATTTCGGCTACAATCGCCACCTACCTGCACACAGCAATTGTAGATTTAGATCAGTGTAAGCTGCAATCGTTACTTACAATTGGTCCGGACCAGTCTTAAGTAGACAAGATCGTTGTAGTCTGAGACAAAATGGCGTCCAAATCAGGGTCTGTTTCACAAGGGAGACTATATAAGGTTGTAGAGTATCCCTGGTTTCACACAAGAAGTCAGCTTTATGTTCAAATATTTGCGGGGTATATTATGAAAATTGTGGAGGTATTAGTTTGCGCAGCATCCTGTGTGCGCTTGCAGACAACTATAGACAGGAGCCGAGTTTAAGAAATTCGTACTTCCACTGTTGAAGAGTTCGATCTTAGTTAAGAACGATCTTAGCGCTACAATTATTGTAAATCCTGAAGATCGCGATCTTATGCGTTGCCGACAATCGCCATCCACTTGCACAAAACAATTGTAGGCTAAGATCATTGTAAGTCACAATCGAAACTTACAATTGGTCCGGACCAATTGTAAGAAGCTAAGATCATTGTAGTCTGTAACAAAATGGCATTCAAGTTAGTGTCTGTTTCACGCAAATAATCAGCTTTACGTTTGGAGACTGCTTTTATATTGCATAAAACTGTGTGGTTCGCCTCGACACTTCAACAACACGGAGAATGCACCACCGATTTAACGTTAGAAACATCGTTATTTGCTATAGCGATTCATATACCTATCGAGTCGATATCATAAAGTACTATTCCACCCGGTTCAGTGTTGGAAGAAGTGTGAAACAACATACCTTCTTGATAATCAAAGAAAGGATAGCAACGAAAGGTGTCTGAATGCGATTACCAATGGCCGTGAACTTTACAATAACTCAATAGCAACTAATCTTAGTTTTTACGCAAGATGGGGAGTGGTTTCCCTTGGGGATATTATGCTGTTGCCGTAGAGTCTGCCATGCCCAATGTATGTCAAACAGGGAAAGGAGGCATTTGAAATTTGTGTAAAAATTCACAATAAGAAAGAAACCAATTATCAACGAAATAGGGTTAAATAATTAACATACTGTGAATAAATATTTAACAACACATACTACACACACGAACTATTATTTATTACTCATATTTCGACCGTGGTGAAATGGTTAGAGCGTACGCCCGGAAAGCGGAAGGTCGCGGGTTCGATCCCCGACAGCGTCATACCAAAAGACGTTAAAATATGGTACTTGTTGGTCCCTGCCTGGCGCTCGGCATTAATTGGTACAACAAGGACTGGTCGGCTCGGAGTCAGTATAATGTGTCTGAGTGGGGTATTCATGCTTCACTACGGCATGGTATCTCAGTGGGCTAGCACTATAAAACCAGCTTAAGTCTGGGCTAGTACAAGAAGCCGCACATACACATACACAAGCATGCACGTCGTCATGCATATGAGCGAAATATTCTCAAGCACGACATTAAACCCAATTTCACCTCACCTACCCAATGCTTGTGGGATGTATTCGGGATTTTACTCCAAATTTTTCAAGGTGCGATTGAGCGAGGTATGTGTTGCGTGCAGTAACCAGTTCCACTTTATATTTGCGCAGAATGCTTTACGCACTAGCCGACAAGTATAGACAGGAGTCGAGTTGAAACTGAAACTGTACGATGGGCTAGTCAATTCAAGTGTGTGTGAGACAGGATATGTCCAGATACCGCCTAACTCACTGTACCTTTGGTGTACATAGGCTATATTGTTCGATGTATGTATACCCACAATATAGAGACATCTTACAATTGTGTGTACAAATCAACTCCCGAGCAAAGTTTTCAAAATCTTGTGAACTATGTGAAAGTCACTGTAATGACCATGACAGCTATATAATTCTACATTGTGAACTTTATATGTACAACAGAAACCAGTTCTTTTCTAAACTTTTAGATCTTATTCATGTCAATGTCTCTGTACAAATAGAATTACTGTCAGAAGATGAAATGCTGCCTCTCTTTTCTGGAGGTGAAATACCTCATCCATTCATTAATGGGCGGGTGTGGTTTTATTAACACGGTGGCTCTTCATGTGAAAACTAATAATGAAAACAATACATTCGACAGTTGTAAAATATGGTGTATAAACACAACGTCGTGTTGAGTGTGTTGTTGGTCCAAGACTGATGGATGGTACAGAACTTCACCCAAGTGAAGTGCCATATCAACTCAGCATAAGGTCAGGTTTTCAAGGGAAGGCTGTCTGAAACAATACTGTCCCAGGTCTATGTACAGTGTGTAACACGAGGAGCAACGCTGTCAGAATGGTCTCTGTGTGGTGCTCAGGGACCGTTACTGTGCGATTTTGACATAAGTATGAAATTAAGATTATGTAATGAGGTTAAATTCAATAAGAGTTCGTGCAGAATCTTAAACGGCATGATGGTGTGACTGGATCATTTAATTACCGTATTTACCTTGCTTGTGGTGTGCGTCAGAGGTCCATCCATGGTACTACCCAGAATATGTACAGGGCGTCAGAGGTCCATCCATGGTACTACCCAGAATATGTGCAGGGCGTCAGAGGTCAATCCATGGTACTACCCAGAATATGTACAGGGCGTCAGAGGTCCATCCATGGTACTACCCAGAATATGTACAGGGCGTCAGAGGTCCACCCATGGTACTACCCAGAATATGTACAGGGCGTCAGAGGTCCATCCATGGTACTACCCAGAATATGTACAGGGCGTCAGAGGTCCACCCATGGTACTACCCAGAATATGTACAGGGCGTCAGAGTTCCATCCATGGTACTACCCAGAATATGTACAGGGCGTCAGAGGTCCATCCATGGTACTACCCAGAATATGTACAGGGCGTCAGAGGTCCATCCATGGTACTACCCAGAATATGTACAGGGCGTCAGAGGTCCATCCATGGTACTACCCAGAATATGTACAGGGTGTCAGAGGTCCACCCATGGTACTACCCAGAATATGTACAGGGCGTCAGAGGTCCATCCATGGTACTACCCAGAATATGTACAGGGCGTCAGAGTTCCATCCATGGTACTACCCAGAATATGTACAGGGCGTCAGAGGTCCACCCATGGTACTACCCAGAATATGTACAGGGCGTCAGAGGTCCATCCATGGTACTACCCAGAATATGTACAGGGCGTCAGGGAAACTGGTACATATTAACATCTTTGTGATAGGCTCGGAATAAACCTGACCCTGCGGGGTGTTTTATAAAACCAGTGACATTATCACTCTCACGGACTACTGTGTCGCCTCTGACACTAACGTGATTCACAACACTCAGGAAACAGATGGTGAATACCCAAACATCGCTTACGAAATGTCACGCTTGCATCTCAAGTACGAACTATAGCCCAGCGTATAGGTCATCAAATTGTGCAGTTCGTGTCACAAGCATGAAATTTGGCATGATTGTAGCTTATATCCTTATTAAATAAAGATCGAGAGGCCTTACAGATGTTTGTATATTTTTCACTTTTGGGGGAAAGAAGTTAAAAACAAATAATTTGTTTTTACTATTTTCATCATAACTTTTACAAAATTCTCCAATTCTCATAAATCATATATCAAATTGTTCATAGCGGATCAGTTTTCATCTACACATGTCTTTCTATGTTTAAGTTCTACGGAAGTCAATTCATATCATAACTGCATGAAAATGGGAAAAACCACAACTTCACAGGCTGTGGCAGTGTGTCATCCTTTGGTGGAATGGATTGAAGACCTCGTGGAATGTATGGAACGCTTTTCCTGAAATTACAGGCACCTTTATTTCCCTTCGCTTGTCCACCACTTGAAATCGCCAATGCACAGATTCATCAGCTTCATTATACATGTAAGTATTGTAAAACGTTATGACGGAAATAGTAAAAATGAAAATGTAAAACGAAGTGACATAGTTCAGTGAAAAAAAATGCACTTATCTGCTGGGCTAATAGTTCGTCTCTCAATTGTTCTCAGTGCCTCAGGTTTGGTGCAGTGTTGGGGAGTCCACACAATCTCCGGATGGCCTTGACTAGCAGCGCTTCCTCGTCCAATTCACCAAGTCTTGGCTACGATAACAGGGGCAAGAACCCTGAACTGATAATGACCATAACTTGCGAAAGGTGCCCAGATCACCCAAACTCTGTTTGTGTTAATAATAACAACACTATGCTTTAATGTGTTATGTTGTTCTGTTTATTTAGTTATTTATTTATCTCGAGTATCAGACTCTTTCCTGTTTAGTTCATCTTGCATATATGTACAGTACATACAGTTTGATAAAATATATACATGCAGATATATGTACAGTATATACAGTTTGATAAAATATATACATGCAGATATATGTACAGTATATACAGTTTGATAACTTTTTAAATTAAAAATATATACATGCAGATATATGTACGAAAGAAATAAACTTAACTGAACTTAAGAGCCCCGTCCACAGTAGTCCCCAGATTAGATTGTTTCAGTCTGGCAGGAAGCCAAATATTTGGAACAAGCCGTAAGAAAAGAAGTTGAGTATTGTTGATCGTTTCTGAGAAGAGGTACGTGCTATACATACCATGTAATGGAACATACCTAGAAGAGGTACGTGCTATACATACCATGTAATGGAACATACCTAGAAGAGGTACGTGCTATACATACCATGTAATGGAACATACCTAGAAGAGGTACGTGCTATACATACCATGTAATGGAACATACCTAGAAATGTTTCTTAAATCTCCAAGTTTTATTGTCGGTTTGGTCATTGTCCCGCTTCTTGCTGACAATTGTTGGTCAGATTTTACGTATTTCCAACCTCAGAGTTAACATATTTCCAGTATTATATTTTACTCATCTCCAATATAATAAATGAAATAAACATGCAGTAAAATGGACATAGTCGAGGAGTTCTATAAACACCAGCTGAATATCATGTGATTACTCCTATGGTGTATAATGCAAGATCACCTCAACTGATTTAGTATACCAAATATATCATAAAAACCGTACCTACGGTTATTTTATTTCCAGTTAAGTAGTACTTATGTTTCGACGTTTTGACAGGCTTGAATGTCAGTCGTAACAGGCACGCACTTTCTGAAGTTGTATTACATTTTCTTAGGTTTAACCTCCCCATTCTTGCAGATGGTATGAGTATCACTGGGCAGCTGCAAATGAGTACCTTGTGAGGATGAGGCTGTGGAATAATTCGCTACGCTTAACAGGCTGCAAGAGTTGAATACTCCCAAGGGAGTTGAGTTGGTTAAAAGATTGCCAGAAAAAAGACATCCGTTGATCAAGGGAACACTTCAGCGCCTTGAACAGTGTCTTGCACGTGTATTAGTTGCGTGGATATGTGCGCTATATAAATATCCAATAATAATAAAACATAACTAATGATGAAAATGAAATTCAACCTATTCCCATATTAGCGTAAGTGTCACAATACGAAATGAATAAGGCAAAGGCAGAAATGTAATAAATGAAATTTATTACAAAAATTATATATAAAATGGAAACAAAACCATTTGCCCAAAATCAAACCCCAAATCACCCTTCATTCATACCGCATTCATCACCAAACAATAGCACACAATCACTCCTATACATACCCTTTACACACAAAAAAACCCCCTAACCCAATAGAACACTACATTTGTATAATACAAATATTTCACATTGTACAGAGCGTACACCACGTGTATCAAACACGGAATGGGACTGAGGTGAGGTGAGGTGAAATTGGGTTTTACGTCGCGCTGGAGAATATTTCTCTCATATGACGACGTGCATGCGTGTGTATCTGTAGGTGCGGCTGCTTGTACTAGCCCAGACTGAAGCTAGTTTTATAGTGCTAGCCTACTGAGATACCATGCCGCAGTGAAGCATGAATATCCCACTCAGACACATTATACTGACTCCGAGCCGACCAGTCCTTGTTGTACCCATTAATGCCGAGCGCCAGGCAGGGACCAACATGTACCATATTTTAACGTCGTTTTGGTATTACGCGGTCGGGGATCGAACCCGCGACCTTCCGCTCTCCGGGCGGACGCTCTAACCACTACACCACGGAGGCGGTCGGAATGGGACTGAATGTTCACTGATGATAAGTTCAATCATATAGTTGTAGCTCTTGTCACATAGCATAAGGTCATGACAACCTCAGTCTCTCTCACGGTCAGCCATCCTGACGATGTTTTCGCTGGTCAGTCAAATGAGGAGGCAACACACAGACGCCACCTTTTACAGGTCGAGGCCATCATACTGATCTGCCTCTTACACACAAGGCGAGGTTACCACACAGATACTGCCTTTATACGGTCCGGCACAGGTCCCGGGCACTATACAAATATCAAAACAACATTTGATATACTTATCATTCAATGTACACCGAGTTTTACAAACTCAGAATGATAACAATCATTCAACGTACTAAGAGCATTACATACTCATGATATTATACTTTAAAGGATGACTATCACAGCATTACATTTCACTTAGAACAACTTTTACGTTATTCACCATACAGGCAAGTGAATATGCTGATAAAACATCTGATTACAACATTGTTTCACAATGTTACACGTATAACTGACAGCAAAATAATTTACCTGCAACTAAATCGTGAGAATTGACATTTTAGTATATTTCTTCTACAACATTTGAGGATTGACAAAATGATAACATAATCATCATTTAACAAATGCCCATATTTACATAGCTCCACAATAATAATTACAAAGCAACATGATAAACATAAATATCCAATAAAACAAATTCTACTCACGCAATGAAATTAGACCAGCCACCTTGCAAATACAGCCATCCTCATCAGACAACTTTCATGACTGCACTCACCAACCCTTGCACCCTGCCTAATATAATCAAACCTCACACCTTGCATGCTTTTCTTGCCACACTAGCCTCCTCATACCACCTTGCATGCTTTCTACCCATTCCCACACCCTGATCTCACCTACTACAGTCCAACCACACTGTAACACGCGTCATACAGTTAAACCAAACTACTATGTGATCTTGACAGTAAGTACCTTTGTAACGGTCTATGTCGATAAACTGTCATTAGATTTATCACCGTCAGTAGAAAGCGGAGTCGCAGCACAGACAAGCCTCAGACTGCCAACATATTAAAACACATTTCCGAGTTGAAGCAGTTTATCCAGGCACTGATCCTCACGGAGTCGATCTGGCTGTAGGCTGGATGACTGGATGGCGGTCCCAGTGGAAGGGTCAGGGTCCAGTAAGATGAGCTATAGACTGGATGACTGGATGGCGGTCCCAGTGGAAGGGTCAGGGACCAGTAAGATGAGCTATAGACTGGATGACTGGATGGTGGTCCCAGTGGAAGGGTCAGGGTCCGGCAAGATGAGCTATAGACTGGATGACTGGGTGGCGGTCCCAGTGGAAGGGTCAGGGTCCAGTAAGATGAGCTATAGACTGGATGACTGGATGGCGGTCCCAGTGGAAGGGTCAGGGTCCCAGTGGACTGACTGACTGACTGAGTTTGGTTTTACGCCGCTTTTAGCAATATTACAGCAACATCACGACGGGGGACACCCGAAATGGGCTTCACACATTGTACCCATGTGGGGATTCGAACCCGGGTCTTTGGCGTGACGAGCCAACGCTTTAACCACTAGGCTACCCCACCGCCCCCGGTCCCAGTGGAAGGGTCAGGGACCAGTAAGATGAGCTATAGACTGGATGACTGGATGGCGGTCCCAGTGGAAGGGTCAGGGTCCAGTAAGATGAGCTATAGACTGGATGACTGGATGGCGGTCCCAGTGGAAGGGTCAGGGACCAGTAAGATGAGCTATAGACTGGGTGACTGGGTGGCGGTCCCAGTGGAAGGGTCAGGGTCCAGTAAGATGAGCTATAGACTGGGTGACTGGATGGCGGTCCCAGTGGAAGGGTCAGGGACCAGTAAGATGAGCTATAGACTGGGTGTCTGGATGGCGGTCCCAGTGAAAGGGTCAGGGTCCAGTAAGATGAGCTGTAGACTGGGTGACTGGATGGCGGTCCCAGTGGAAGGGTCAGGGTCCAGTAAGATGAGCTATAGACTGGGTGGCTGGATGGCGGTCCCAGTGGAAGGGTCAGGGTCCAGTAAGCTGAGCTATAAGATCTGATGGACATTTTGTCTCTTCATTCTGTAGCGACGGCTTCTTGGGGACAGTCAACTTCGTCCAGCATCACCCACTCCGTGTCTAGTTCTGTAATCACAAAACGCACAGTATGACACAGACCAGATTAATCGTTAATCTAATGACTGATAATATGAACAACGGCTCACAAACGCAGTATGGTGACTAACCAAATCAGTCCAGTGTGTCGTTTCTGACGACTTAGTGTCGAATCCCTTTTGAATTAAGGAATGTGTCCACAAGATAATTTATGAGATCCTCCAGCAACATAAGGGAGATAACTGTTAACTGGTACCTGGGGATAGTCGTACGAGCATGTACTTACCTTGACACGGTGTTGTGATCCGTTTCTCAAACATCAGACGGAGTGACTCCATGATGCTGTCTGTGAATAAAATAAAAGGGCTCTAACATCAGATCACGTATAAGTTAGACATCCAGATTTAGTGAAAAATATTTGGATGGTTCACCGAACCTCAAACAGTGATCACACCAGGTGTTCACCAAACGGGTCCGCAAGTCCGGACCTAAATGTAACACCCGCAACTTGCATCATTTTCTAAAGAGTAAATGCGTGTTGCCTGACGTCACTCAGTACCACTGCTCCAGAAATATATATCGGACATCGGACAATGATGTCAAAATGTTGAGAGCGCTATCGTAACGAGGTCCGGGTTAGAATTGGTCTTCAGTAACCCATGCTTGTCGTAATAGGCGACTAACGTGATCGGGTGGTCAGGCTCGCTGACTGGGTTGACACATGTCATCGGTTCCCAGTTGCGTAGATCGATGTTCATGCTGTTGATCCCTGGATTGTCTGGTCCAGACTCGATTATTTACAGACCGTCGCCATATAGCTGGAATATTGCTGAGTGCGGCGTAAACTAAACTCACTCACTCACTCACTATCATAACGACAGTCAGGTCCTTAAACACACCAGTGTCGCGCACAAATATATGCTGTGTCAGCAAATGTCATTTTGATCCATTTCCAGAGAAGCATATTGATTACATTTTCACATTTTACAGTACAGCGAGTACGAGCGAATATATGTGTACGCCGCTTTTACCAATATTCCAGAAATATCACGGCGGGGACACAAAAATGGGCTTCACACATTGTACCCGTGTGGGGAATCGAACCCGGGTCTTCAGCGTGACAAGCGGACGCTTTAACCATTAGGCTACCCAACCGCCCCTTTTACAGTTCAAATCCGCATTTAATATGAATACACAAAAAAGGAACTAAGGAAATGAAAACAGATCTCACAATATTCAGCAGTGAATAGGGTGTTTCACATGACAGGTGCAGACATAGCTCTGTTTTAACACAAACTTACGAATAATACTCGGTTAAAATATGTTCTTCTAATACCTGACACACTGCCGGACACGTCATCAACACGTTCCATGCACGTGCCACAGTGGCTGAAGTGTCGGATACAGCGAGAACAGCAGGTCACGTGACCACACGGTAGACAGATGATATCGGCCTCTCTGTTTAAGCAGTTTGTGCAGAATAACAGTTGCTTCAAATCCTTGTTCCCTGTCAGCATTGACTGTAAAGCTGTAGACACAAAACGTACAACGTACAAATACAAATTGTATTCCACCATAGATCACAGCACATTACATCTTTGCTTCTACTCTGAAATATTGTGACTTACACAAATATATATCACAAGGTAACATGCTAATAATATATACAGGGTTTGTGTTAACTTTAACTGTCTATTTCAGTTATATCTCAAAACACACTTTGTTGCGGGTTGTACCCTAATATCTGGTCAGGGTAGGCATTGCAACAACAGATAGGCAACAGTGGCCAAATGGTGGCACATGTTCTGCAGAGTAGCGTCCCTTAGTTATCATTCGACCACCTGGGGTGTCTACAACATGAAGATGGTTCATCACTAGTTACACTGCTCTACTCACCATCGTTGGAGTATTCTATGTTCTTTCTGTCAGAACTAATCTGTAGTCTTCTAGGATCACCTGGACGACAAGGAGCATGGGGGTTATACATATAATACATCATGCAAGTTGATACCGACAAGATCCTTTCTCTAATCATTAAAATATTAAAGCGCCAAAACTTGATCGCGACTATTTCATAACACGAATACAGCTGGATATTCCTTGTGTCCCTAGAACGTGATACACACAAACACAAACTGTAACACTCCGTGTCTCTAGAACGTGATACACACAAACACAAACTGTAACACTCCGTGTCTCTATACTTATCAGATGGGACACTGGATAGGAAGAGTGAGGTTAGTCGATAAAGCGTTCGCTCGTCTCGCTGAAGACCCGGGTTCGATTCCCCATATGGGTACAATGTGTGAAGCCCATTTCTGGTGTTTCCCCGCCGTGATATTGGTGGAATATATTGCTAAAAGCGGCGTAAAACCATACTCACTCACTGGATAGGTAAGATCTTACTTACCTCTGATAACTCGCAACTGCTCAATATTATGCATTGCCATTCGAATCTCTTGGGCGCCTTCAGCTGGGGTCTTGTGGTGGATATCTTTACTGTTGACAATGATGGTGTAAATGTCCAGGGGAACACTCAAGGTTGATATCACTGCACCAGCAACCTTCGCAGCCATCAGGCCAGTCTTCAGAACCCCTGCAAGTGTCCTACTTGTGGCCTCAATCGCCTCTCTTGTCGCTATAGCAGAGGCAACTGCAGCAACTCTCAATCCTTGACCCACTGGGCCAACTGTTGTCCGTAAACCTAAAGCTGCGTTTTCATACGTCGTAGACTGAGAGAGGCCAAATGTCTCGCTTCTCAAGTCTACAAACAAGAGTTCATTATTTCCACTTTCATTGAGCACATTGGCAAACTTAATAAGTTGTTTTGATGTTTCAAAGTACTTGTCCTTTGCTTCCTGGGCTTGTGTGAAAGTCTTGCTTTTAATCAGCTTACCAACGATGGTGTTACCAATGGTTCCGACCCCGCTGGACACGCCCAAGGCCAGACCACCTATTGTCAGTCCCAGGGAGGTTCCGAATGTGAAGGGGGCAGTAGCCACCCCTGCTATGGTAAGTCCACTTGCAACTATTCCTGTTGACGCAAACGTCAGATCTGCAATCTTGGTGTTCCGAGTATGCTTGTCCAGATCATCAGCAAGGGCGTTCAGCGTCCTCACTACCTCAGACTTTTCCTTTTCTTCCTTGTCAAGAAGACCGTTTAAACTGTCTGACAGTAGTTTATCCTTTTCCTCTTTAGAATATGACATAGTGTGAGGTTCGTTCTTCTTATTCGCCAGATGCCATTTGATCGTCTGTGTGTCCACAAGTTGCCCTTATTCCGTCACATGTTTTTCTGAAACTTGAATGTGTCAAATGTCATAATATTGTTCAGTTCATCACCAGTCACGGGTGACAGAAAATACAATGTAGACACATAGCATCCAAAACACGTTCCCGTAAGTGGGGCTGGCTTGTATACTACTTCACGTCACCGTCAAGGTAAGGTTTGGTAATGTGTCCGCCCAGTTCACATTTGATGATATTTGCAGACTTACACATTTTGTTGCAACAAACTCTCACCTCTAGCCGGAACAACCTCAGCAGCAACGTGTTTTGTCAACAACATATTTTCTGCAAAATGTTGGTCGATATACAACCTTCCAATTTGCTGAAACATACTAGCTAGGATATGGTGCTGCAATACATAGAATTATGTTCAGAGCGAACGAACTATTGTAGGTTTAAAGGGCCAGAAGACTTCCCTCGGCCATCTTATTAAAGTATATAACAAAGGATGTGACAGGCATCAAGCAATAACATGTTGCCCGATAACTCTCCACATGAAGATCTGAGGACAGTTCCTTGTCTAGGCGCCAGGTACGTCACTCACATCGGAGCCTTCAGTCTAGACGCCTTGATGCGGGAAACCATGTGGTGTGTGACATGTGCACAATAATTTAACACTGACTGAATACTTACACCTTCCATTGGAAAAAAATATAGAAGCGTTGTTTTCAGATCATTCAAGCCATTCCTCTTTCGCATCAAGTTGATGGCCATGACAATGTTACGTCGTGTGTTTGATGTAAATGTCATACAACGTGCAGCCACTGAGGCGTCGTGTGTTTGTTGTAAATGTCGTACATCGTACTGTAACTGTGACGTCGTGTGTTTGTTGTAAATGTCGTACAACGTGCAGCCACCTGTAACTGTGACGTTGTGTGTTTGTTGTAAATGTCGTACAACGTACTGCCACTGTGACGTCATGTGTTTGTTGTAAATGTCGTACAACGTACTGCCACTGTGACGTCGTGTGTTTGTTGTAAATGTCGTACAATGTACTGTAACTGTGACGTCGTGTGTTTGTTGTACATGTCGTACAACGTGCTGCCACTGTGACGTCGTGTGTTTGTTGTAAATGTCGTACATCGTGCTGCCACTGTGACGTCGTGTGTTTGTTGTAAATGTCGTACAACGTGCTGCCACTGTGACGTCGTGTGTTTGTTGTAAATGTCGTACACGTCGTGTGTGCCACGCTGCCACTGTGACGTCGTGTGTTTGTTGTAAATGTCGTACATCGTGCTGCCACTGTGACGTCGTGTGTTTGTTGTAAATGTCGTACAACGTGCTGCCACTGTGACGTCGTGTGTTTGTTGTAAATGTCGTACACCGTGCTGCCACTGTGACGTCGTGTGTTTGTTGTAAATGTCGTACACCGTGCTGCCACTGTGACGTCGTGTGTTTGTTGTTGTAAATGTCGTACATTGTAAATGTCGTGCTGCCACTGTGACGTCTTGTGTTTGTTACAACGTGCCGCCACTGCTGTCGTACGTCGTAAATGCGTACCATCGTGTGACGTCGTGTTGTAAATGTCGTACACCGTGCTGCCACTGTGACGTCGTGTGTTTGTTGTAAATGTCGTACACCGTGCTCCCACTGTGACGTCGTGTGTTTGTTGTAAATGTCGTACATCGTGCTGCCACTGTGACGTCGTGTGTTTGTTGTAAATGTCGTACACGTCGTGCTTTGTTGTAAATGTCCACTGTGACGTCGTGTGTTTGTTGTAAATGTCGTACATCGTGCTGCCACTGTGACGTCGTGTGTTTGTTGTAAATGTCGTACACCGTGCTGCCACTGTGACGTCGTGTGTTTGTTGTAAATGTCGTACACCGTGCTACCACTGTGACGTCGTGTGTTTGTTGTAAATGTCGTACATCGTGCTGCCACTGTGACGTCGTGTGTTTATTGTAAATGTCGTACACCGTGCTGCCACTGTGACTCACTTGGCCACATGTTGCATCTAATGGTCGTATAACCTGGGTCTGTTTGTTGTAAACAACAGTATAAGTAGAAGAGGTTGGGATACATACGCTGTCACATCCCGTATTGATGAGATGTTTAGGTGGGTGTATGGCTGTCAGTTTCCCACATTAATTAACACTTGTTGGCAGTGTGCGAAATAGCCTATGGCTCGCTAGCCCTTGGCTAGTAAAACTCTAGTCGGGCCAGTAAATGTCCAAAAATCACTCTCCCGACTGGCTAGTGTATTCTCATGGGGTCATTTTGTAAATATATCACTCTCTCCGACTTGATAAATTATATTCTACCATGACTTCAGTAAACACTGGATTGTGATTGGTTAATTAAAGTCATTCAGAGGTATATAATCACGTTATTCAGGTCTCTGATTTTCCGTGCGTAATCATACATGGTTTACGGTAATGCACTTTTTTTGTCTGCCCACCAACATGGCGGACACCAAACAACCTACCGATGCATGGATAAATAACTGCGATTTTGCTGTCGGAAATTACACATATGTCTTTAAAGATGGATTTAGCGATGACGGGCTCGACTCACTACTTGCGTAAATCACAGCAATAGGTGTTTATACATACAAAAGTACTTCGAAAGCATGGAAACAAATATTCAGTCGAACAAGATCAAAACATCGTCTGCTTTCCGAATAAAAATTCCGCAAAAACAAATATGTTTACGTTGATTCTATGTTATGTCAGAATAGATCCAGCAATAGACTGCTACATAATTTCCGTGTTAAATTTATTATCAGCTTTCGTCAACGATATCGCCACTGATCTTGATCCGGTAACGGAGGATGCATTAACATCGAACGCCGAAGAAATTTTAATGCCTTCCGTCCACATAAATAAACAGTTGGGTTATCAATTCAAACAAAATGAAATTTTGAAATTTGTACTGTTTCAAATTTAGCGGTAGTAAAACACAATTACAGAATCTGCAAACCGTTCTGTTTAGCCCAACATATTTTTTTTCTAAAAGTATAATATCGTTGTAAAAGTTATTTAGCTTAGTCATGATCCCTCTTATCCATTACACTGCTTGATCTAAAGTAGTCTATTAAAGTATAATTAATTACCTTACCGTGTTTATGCCAGAGGTACACCTTCATGTCCTGATCCATCCTTTCGGAAATATCACCACAAATCTGGCTCTTTGTCAACAGACTCGCGAACATGCCAGCGAATCCGATTCAATTTGAATTCACTACACTTTGAAGCCACTAGGTCACAAAACACTTTCCAAAATGTAGAAAATAATATCCGTAGAATCGAATTTGAGCACAAAGTACACACATGAGCGTGTTAGAGTCACCACAGCTGTCGCACGCAGACGAAGAGGTGCGTGATCGAAATCGTCAAGTTGACAGGGCGCAAAATTCAACAGTATCTAAATTCGGTACAACACGGACTTCTCGTTACAGCAAAAGCGCCTCTACTCTTAAATTTTGTACCAGTACCAGTAATTAGATATCAAAGACTATCTCAGTCATACAATCAGGTTAACCTTGCGCAAACTGTCAGAGGCTCTCCTGTCGCATCTTTCCAAATTTGCACGTAAATGTAAACAATGACTTCCGAGAAAAGGTCAAGGTTGCTGCCATTATTCTGGTGGGGAAACGGTCTACGGTGGAATTTTCAAATGTGAACCAAGCTTTTTAATTTTTTTTTATATATGTTTTCCAACTTATCAGTTAATGATTGGTGATTGATGCATTGAAAAACAAAACGTGATTTGTTATTACTGAATCTGGAATTTGTTAGTCATTGACGGTTTGCTCTAAATTGTTCGGTTTTAAATGAAATTTAGAGCTATTATAATTTCGTTATATACCTCTGATTTTCCCACACAGTAGGTTTATCTCCTAAATACACTTTTAAATCACTCGAGATTATAGCCTGATAAAAATACTCATCTTATTAGCAGCTAAGGATAAACCCCGTGTCATGCCGACAACGCAACGTCGCACTCACGCATAAAAGAAGTTGTTGTCCATAAAGTTTGTTCTATATCGACAATATCTTATTCTCATCTATTTTTATAATCTTTTGCTCAGTTTCCACATCCAAATTTCAGGCTGGTGAATTATTTTTTGGACTAGTAATTTTCAGGCAAAGCTAGCCAGACTGGCTAGAAAAATGTAGAAACTATTTCGCACAATGCTTGTAGGTTACATTGGTTCTGCGTCGCAGGCTAAGCGTAATTTGGCTGGGGGAATATTTGCTTCAATATTTGAGTTCAACTGCACGCAAGTTTGTGGGCTTCAAACAGGGGTGACGGGTGACGGGTGACGGGTGGCTGTGACTGGTAGCTGAGATGGTAGTGTGATGGTGTTACTGCTGCGAGGATCTTGCTCCGGATTCGGGCAGATTTATATGACGCTTGGTGTAGTGACAACTACGGCGCCTGAAGCGCTTGTGTTTAACATAGCGTCTCTAATATCCCTCCAGCAGTACGACGGCCATACACCAACACGCACCTCGACACAACACTGACTGGTCTATATATAATCACTCAAGCGTGGACATAACAGTCATAGCTTACAACGTGTATGCTGCAATGTACTGACTATCGGGTTACAAATGTAACACAACTCTGTTTCGAGCTTAGCCTACTCTGCCAGAGATTTGTTTAATCGACATGTTGATGCATAGGGTTTGGGTCTGCCAGAGATCTGTTTGATCGACATGTTGTTGCACAGGTTTGGGTCTGCCAGAGACCTGTTTGATCGACATGTTGATGCACAGGTTTGGCTCTGCTACTGAGGCAGCCAAGTGGAAATATCGATTCAGTCACAGATGTGTCGAGTGATTGTGTCGGCTCGTTTTACAGCGTCGGTGTTACATACACATTTAGTAGTGCTTTCAGTAAACGAAACTAACTACTACATCATTGAAACACAAATGCCAGCAGTAGAAAATATGATCAAGCTTCGTTTGCCCTCAAAACATTGGATGTATATATAGTCACTGAACAGCGGTCCTGGGTTCCACATACGGAGACAAGTAGAACTCCCTGACAGGTTTTAGCGTGTACATATATATGACCATATGACATCCATGATTTAGAACTAGAACATGTATGACATTGATTTCAAGCAATATGTACGTATGACTGGTAACAAACTGTCACTCACTGTTTTACACCCGGAAGCATGATGTTTTCTATGCATCGCCTGGCTTCTTTTCTAGCTAATATCAGCTAGCAGTCGACTACTTCCGGGTTAGCTATATATAGGTCATGTGTCACGCTGCGGAATGGAGGTTGTCAGGTCAGGTAGTTTGTTTGTTGTTGAACGCCCCTCTCGGCAATATTCCAGCTATATGGAGGGGCCTGTAACTAGTCGAGTCTGGACCAGACAACATCTACACAATTGGGAAACTATTATATGCGTCAACCAAGTCAGCGAGCCTGACCGCCCGATCCCGTTAGTCGCCTCTTGTATTGTCCATGGGCCAGGTAGGATGGTCGCTACCACTAGAGGGATTAACTCTCATTATGTTTTTTATGTAGCTTATCCTGTTGGAAACAGATTCTTGTATGATATACCTCTCAAAAATTCAGCGTATTACTGTAGTGTACCTTAGTGCACATGCACCTAAAATGCATCCAATTTCCTCAAAACGCATATAAACCTTACTGAGAGTGACAATTACAACCCAAAATCACTTTATATGATTATTGGAAGCCAGCTGGTTCATTTTCCAACTTTCTACCTATGAATGAAAACAGATGAGATATTTATTAAAATGATCTAAATGCAAAAACAAAATGACCCAATTACATGTTGGTTTGTTTGCAGTGATGAAAAAGAACCATAAGAAAGAAATCGGGTATTAATTTAATTTTACATAGTCACACATAACATTGGCTATTTATCTACTACTGATGCCCCAGCAACATCAATGTCGACTGTACATGAAGTTCTTCACCTTAAAGATCAAGGACGCTTTGAAGTTGAACGCTACTGTAGTTGTGTTTGATCAAGCAATGTACGCAAAGGCTGTATGGAAACAAGAAAACAAGTTTCACAGCATTGTCCTCAGACTCGGAGTTCCTCATACCATCTGTAATTTTCTTGCAATTATCCCGAAACGCTTTGGAGATGCTGGATTGCGTGACAATTGTAGAGAAGCAAAGGTCATCACAGATGGATATGTGAATGCAGTTCTTGAGGGCCGACATTACATATGTACATATGTACATTTGATTTAGCATACCCTTGACATCGTAAACGCGAGACAGAACGAATGCAACTATATCACATCGCAAAAGTCTTTATCCAAACCTTCGACGCTAAAATATAACATTCAGTCTTGTGGAATAAATAGTAGGATGTGAGTATAGGTGTAGTATTATTTCCACCATGTTGAGTATAAGTGTAGTATTATTTCCACCATGTTGAGTATAAGAGTAGTATTATTTCCACCATGTTGAGTATAAGTGTAGTATTATTTCCACCATGTTGAGTATACGTGTAGTATTATTTCCACCATGTTGAGTATAGGTGTAGTATTATTCCACCATGTTGAGTATAGGTGTAGTATTATTTCCACCATGTTGAGTATAAGTGTAGTATTATTTCCACCATGTTGAGTATAAGTGAAGTTTTATTTCCACCATGTTGAGTATGAGTGTAGTATTATGTACCACTGCCACGTGTAACAGTATACATAGGGAATATTGTTACACAATACATACCACTGACACGTAACAGTATACACAGGGAATATTGTTACACAATACATACCACTGACACGTAACAGTATACATAGGGAATATTGTTACACAATACATACCACTGACACGTAACAGTATACATAGGGAATATTGTTACACAATACATACCACTGACACGTAACAGTATACATAGGGAATATTGTTACACAATACATACCACTGACACGTAACAGTATACATAGGGAATATTGTTACACAATACATACCACTGCCACGTAACAGTATACATAGGGAACATTGTTACACAATACATACCACTGACATGTAACAGTATACATAGGGAATATTGTTACACAATACATACCACTGCCATGTAACAGTATACATAGGGAATATTGTTACACAATACATACCACTGACACGTAACAGTATACATAGGGAATATTGTTACACAATACATACCACTGCCACGTAACAGTATACATAGGGAATATTGTTACACAATACATACCACTGAACAGTATACATAGGGAATATTGTTACACAATACATACCACTGACCATATACATAGGGAATATTGTTACACAATACATACCACTGATACGTAACAGTATACATGTACATAGGGAACATTGTTACACAATACATACCACTGCCACGTGTAACAGTATACATAGGGAATATTGTTACACAATACATACCACTGACATGTAACAGTATACATAGGGAATATTGTTACACAATACATACCACTGACACGTAACAGTATACATAGGGAATATTGTTACACAATACATACCACTGATACGTAACAGTATACATAGGGAATATTGTTACACAATACATACCACTGACACGTAACAGTATACATAGGGAATATTGTTACACAATACATACCACTGACACGTAACAGTATACATAGGGAACATTGTTACACAATACATACCACTGACATACGTAACAGGATACACAGGGAACATTGTTACACAATACATACCACTGACACGTAACAGTATACATAGGGAACATTGTTACACAATACATACCACTGACACGTAACAGTATACATAGGGAACATTGTTACACAATACATACCACTGACACGTAACAGTATACATAGGGAATATTGTTACACAATACATACCACTGACATGTAACAGTATACATAGGGAACATTGTTACACAATAATACATGCCACTGACATTGTAACAGTATACATAGGGAACATTGTTACACAATACATACCACTGACACGTAACAGTATACATAGGGAATATTGTTACACAATACATACCACTGACACGTAACAGTATACATAGGGAACATTGTTACACAATACATACCACTGACACGTAACAGTATACATAGGGAACATTGTTACACAATACATACCACTGCCACGTAACAGTATACATAGGGAATATTGTTACACAATACATACCACTGCCATGTAACAGTATACATATGGAACATTGTTACACAATACATACCACTGCCATGTAACAACAGCATACATAGGGAATATTGTTACACAATACATACCACTGACACGTAACAGTATACATAGGGAACATTGTTACACAATACATACCACTGACACGTAACAGTATTCATAGGATCAACTATGATGTTTAGTTCATCAGAAAATATTTTATGGGATCAAGAATACCCATGAAATGTTCAGGTTTCAATTTGTTAATACACATAGTTTCATGTAAAGACAGTTTGGTTTTATTCCATGAAAGCCTTCAAATCAAAAGAGTCAATTTTAAGATTTAAGAGGTTGATCTCCTCCGTCTAAACCTAATATATACTCATGATAATAATGGTTGTCAACCCCTCCCCACCCCAACCCCACCCCTCCTCACACCCCCACCCCACACCCCCACTCCAATGAAAAATTGAAGGGGGTGACAACCATTATTGGCATGAGTGTATTACCTCATTTAAGTTCACTTATCTGCATATTGTCCCATTTTCGGGACGGTACTTTGGCGGAAAATTGAGTATGGAAAAATGCAAAGCATTTTCATTTTATTTTTCTATTTGAACAACGAAAGTTTTAAACACATTCTTATGAACTTACATAGTTAAAATAGGAACCAATTAATGAAATCATCTTACCTCACACTTCGCGGAATTGTCAGGGGACCTGCCTTTCCACTGGAAGTGGCCATGCTTAAAGAACGTAAAGTAATTAAATGGTTCAACCACTACACAATTTACTCAGCTTCATTCACTTCTACACTGTAAGTTTCTATCTTCAACAATAGGAGAGAAATGCTTTCTTGAAGTACCCGTCCCAAAAAGGGACGATATGCATAAGTGGGTTAAATTAATGTAACTGGCTCGGGTCTCTTGGAAAGCCATCTGAGAGTAGCTTGTAGTTCATATTTAATAGAGAGAGAATATTCAATCGGATACGAACTATATGGCTTTCGACATGCCCATTTAAAGTAATTCGCCAGTACACTGGCAGATTCAGACGAGATTTAAGAACTTTGTACAGAGGGAATGGCAAACGTATCTGCCAGAAATGATCTCAGCCAAAGAATAACAATTCTAAATAACATATAATTATGAGATTATCTGATCTGATTCGGGTTGCAAGCAAAGATACGTCTTTAGTACCGTCACAGTTCCAGTTACCAGATTGGATCTAGCAGCTCTAGAGTACTACATGATTGTGGCTGGTAGTGGTTGGGTAGATGTGAGCGGAGACACATACCTGTGGGTCATTAAGGGTATAGAACAGTAGTGTCTGGTGTAAGAAGTTGAAACACGTCTACTGGAGCAACATGTATTTCGTATCGCTGGAATGCTAGGTTTCCAAATTCAATGCTGTCGGACTTAAAAGTGACAGGCTTTCCCACAATACCAAATACGTCGTGCTGTACCAATCGAGACTTATCTCTATTGATTTCCTAGTTAAAACTCTGTAAGGACAAGACGGATGAGAGTGTGTACTTGCTTCTGGGGTAAGTCATTGTATATGTGATTTGGTTATGATAATTGTTTCAAGGCTTTGTAGGCCCAGTTCTGTCTGAATTGTCGTGAATATGAAAGGACTGTCAGACACAGGTTGGCGAGATTTAGTACCATGGTCAGATTGCATCATAATCAGCGACACTTGATAGGAAGGGTTAACTGAAGCCCATATAATCAGTTACACTTGATAGGAAGGGTTAAATGACACCCATATAATCAGCGACACTTGATAGGAAGGGTTGACTGCATGGACCCCATATAATCAGCGACACTTGATAGGAAGGGTTAACTGGACCCCATATAATCAGCGACACTTGACAGGAAGGGTTAACTGGACCCAATATAATCAGCGACACTTAATAGGAAGGGTTAAAAGCATGGACCCATATAATCAGCGACACTTGATAGGAAGAGTTAACTGGACCCCATATAATCAGCGACACTTGATAGGAAGGGTTAACTGGACCCCATATAATCAGCGACACTTGATAGGAAGGGTTAACTTGTTCCCATATAATCAGCGACACTTGATAGGAAGGGTTAACTGAAACCCATATGATCAGCGACACTTGATAGGTAGGGTTAA